TCTCCAAAGATTGGCTAGATAACCTGCAGAAATTAACTTATTCGCAGCTTGAGACGATACGAAAATTGTCATCAGGATCTATCAGTACTGCTACAAGCAAGACCTCGAATACAAAACATAAAGACAGCAATGATTTAGATAAGTTAATGTCCGAACAAACAGAATCACTCGCTGATCCTGATCCAACAACTGTGCAAGAAAAAAAACAACAGGTAATTATTTATAAACTAAGGCTGCGTTCCGTTGCACGCATAATATACATAATATATCATTTTATCCTTGTTTAACACTCTGCGAACAACAAGGCTAAAATAATATCTCATGTGCATTATGTCTACAACGGAACATAGTCTAAATGAGGCAATATTTATGTGCTTTTAGTACAAAAGTAATTTCTTTGTAGCAAATCCGTGAGCAAGGTACGTCCGACAATAAAGTAGAATCAAAAGATGGCATGACAATGCCGCAAATTCTTTCTACGTTGCTTCTCAAGTTATCTCCTAAAGTTACGCAAAGCGCCGTCGTCATACCAAAGTGGAAAGTGAACATCCACAGCAATATTCCGAAGCACAGCATCGTCTCTCGCACGCGTCACGTGTTGAACAGCATCACATCGGCCGAGTCAAATGCTTCGAAGTTGCGCAGATTAGAGGAGTTATTGTTGCATGTCGATCAGTATCCAGAAGCAAGGCATTACGCGATCAAAGAGGGAGCGATTCGAATTTTATTACAGACTCGTCAGAAGGCGAAAGATGAACAGATTAAAGGTATAAAAAAAATATAAATTTTAAATGATGATATGTCACCTGTTTTATCAGTATACTTTCAACAGCCGCGTTCAACAGAACAACAAATTCATCTAAGGCTGCATTCCACTTAACGCTTCCAACGCTCGCGAGTATCGTTTGTCCTTTTAACATTTGATAAACGACAAAGATGAAATGATTCCACGAACATTGTGAGCATTAAGTAGAACAGAGCCTAAAACTATAACAGAAGATGACATATTAATTAAATCATCATCGTTCAAAATTTACATTTTTCTTTCCTTTGTACTGATTGGATTATACTTTTAGAAGAATAGCGGAGAAAATTTTTAACAGTTGCAAAATAAACATTCTATTGAACGCAGATAATGTGTTTCTTGCAGCGTCTATTAGAGAAGCACTCGCTGTAATGGGTTACATCGATCCTTTGCCTGGTCGGGGTATTAGAATCCTATCGATTGATGGCGGCGGCATTCGTGGAGTATTGGTTATAGAGATGCTGAAGAAATTGGAAGAACTCACGGGAAAGAAAACGTATGAAATGTTCGATTACATATGCGGCGTGAGCACAGGAGCTATTCTCGCTGCTGTGTTAGGTAATTGCTCGATGTATGAGTCTAGAAACATTCATTGTTATAATAATTATTAATAATAATTATTAATAATTATTATAAGATAACATTAGAAAGGGTTAAACTAACTTTTTGTTTGTAACATGTGTGCGTCTCTAAATTAATTTATCATCTACATGCAGTATTGCCAAAGGACATTTTGGAAGGTAAACTTTTAAGTGTATTTACAGCATATTCTGCACGCGCTTTATTCCGTCAATAAAAGGAATGTCTCTCAATGTTTCTGTTTACCGCAAACTTATCGTTCACTCATTATTGCAGGAGGACACAAGAGAAAGTCATTGGATGAAGTTTCAGCATTATATAAGGAACTGAGTACCAAAGTGTTTACACAGAGTGCTATAAAAGGCACGAGCAGTCTAGTATGGAGTCATGCGTATTACGATACCGCGTTGTGGGAAAAATTATTAACGGAGCATTTAGGTGACAAAATTCTTATCAAAACTACGCGCGATCCAAATGCACCGAAGGTGCGTAGATTTTAATATTTATCGTCAAAAATGAAACTCGAGATAAAATGTATAATGCATGTTTCACAGGCGGGTTAATTTACATGTACAAAGACCTTTAATCGTGTTTGCATTTTTAGTTTGCAGCAATATCCGCCGTAGTAAATCACGAGCGCGTCATGGCTTACGTGTTTAGAAATTACACATTACCGCACAGAGTGGAGAGCCAGTATATGGGGTCCCACAAGTATAAATTGTGGGAAGCCGTAAGAGCGTCAGCTGCTGCACCGAGTTACTTTGAGGAATTTAAAAACGGCGATTACCTTCATCAGGATGGCGGTAAGCGACATTTCGGCGTGAATCATATAAAAGTGGAATACAAATTTTCGCAACGTTATCGAGAATGATTGCAACAATGCTTTAGGTATTTTGGTAAATAACCCGTGCGCCGTGGCGATACACGAAGCCAAACAGCTGTGGCCGAATAATCCAATCCAGTGCGTCGTATCATTTGGAACAGGTCGAATCCCACATTACATCAGTGGAAACGAATCTTTGGAGATAGCTATCTCGAGCTGGAAAGAGAAGTTCTACAAAATTTTGGATAGCGCCACCGATACAGAGGGTAATAATTAATACTAATACAATATAATAAAGGCAGTATATAACTACAATAATTGAACTGCAGAAATTTGGAAACAAATTAGAGAAAGATTATAATTGACAACGATTAAAATTGATCTCAATTTTTTCAGCTGTGCATACGATGCTCAATGACCTGCTACCCGATCACATTTACTTCAGATTTAACCCTTATTTAACGGAAATGTTATCGATGGTTGAAATCCGACCCGACAAGATTAGCCAAATGGAACAAGACGCAAGAATGTACATACGTCGAAATGAAGAGAAATTTCAAAAGGCTGCTACGGCTTTAATGGAGAAGCGACAGATCCAACAAAAAGTTGTAGATTGGATCATATTACAAAGACAATTATCCGGTTTATAAAGAGCGACTCTTCAAATATTGACGTACATTCCATAGCACGATCTGTGTTTGCAATCACGTGGACATCTACTATAGTACAACTTTTTTACATTTCACATACAGTGACTATCAATTAAAACTTTTTCAAATAATACTTTCTTAGTAATGTTTTTTGGATGATACAATAGGAAATAGCAATGCAACAAATATATATTTTTAAATGTCTCGTTATATTTTTAATGTCTCGTTACACTTTTTTTGTTTATATTACTTATATTAGCATATTTTTTTACTTTTAATTTGTTTAAAGTAATTAGCTATTGTGAAATAAGATGTCTACTCTAATAATGACATCTATAATCGAGAAATTATTTTAGATTAATGTAGGTACATCATTATTAGTACAGAGTTTGACTGTGATATATTTTGTAGTGCAAAGATTTAGGATTAATTAGTATAATTCTATACTTTATTGTCATATGTCTACATATATTAACTTGAGACAAGAGTGTAAGATTGTACATTGTAAGTCGACAAAAGTAATATATCTTCATATCAAAATATCATTAATTGATAAATGTGCTAAGTATTTCATATATATTTTTCTTTACTGTAAATGTGTGTGCTTGTATGTAAAATTTTAAATAAAAACATAAGTATGTAAAAAATTAAATAAAAATAAAAATTAATTTAAATAAGAATTGAATTGTATTATTTTAAAGTTTAATTTTATTTCAGAAGCCTTGAGATAAATTCTAATATACATATTATTTTATAAATACATTTTCTTTTAAATATAGATAGTGTGTAGTAATATTTTTCGTAAAATATTTATGTTCTTTATATCCCTTTATTTTTGACAATTATTTTGTATTTTATTTTTTATATTCTATATTATTCTAAATGGTATTATTTTAAAAACTTGTAAGTGTATAGACAGTCCTGTTCAAACTACAAAAGATTGTAAAGGGCATTTGAATTTGGCGCTGGCATCGCTGTATGGTTCATTTCATCGTCACAGCGTCGGCGACCGGGTGACCATTTCGATTCGATCACGTTTCTTTCCGCTTCCGTTTCTGAAAGTTTGTGTATGTATGATTTTTTGTAGATTTTGTAATTTTCATTCCAAATCCATTCAATCTACTAAGGTCGAGAGATACATTTAAAGAATTGTAACGTTTCTAACCTATTATTATATAAAATTACACTTTCTTATGAATATTATACACAAAAGTCTTGAGAGATAATAGTTTGCTTCACAATTCACCTAACCTCAAATAACATGCATGTATAACAGTGCTTGAAGTAATCAAATATTGTTACAGGTAGAAATAAATAAGTCCAGAAGATGGCAAAATCCAAGAATCACACAAATCATAATCAGAGTAAGTATCTTTTATAAATAAATTTGATTTTTGAGGTGAACACCGTAGATTGCACCTTTACCAAATAAATTGTCAGAAAATCTAGTAAATTGGATTTTTAAATGTAGTGTGTATATAATTTTAATGTTTTTTAGATAGTGTTATATATATAAATATAATAAATATATTTAATCTAAAATCTCTTATAAATCAAACATGTAAATTATTGTTGCTGAATTATTAATTTTTGTATTTTTTTCAGACAGAAAGGCGCATAGAAATGGTATTAAAAAGCCTAAGAGATACAGGCATGAAAGCACACTTGGCGTAAGTTTTATCAATATATTCTATTGTATATTACATTCATTTCAATATTTTATTTTCTATAATCTTTAAGAAGTAAAGGAAAAAAATATGTAAAATATTGTGTGGGATGAAATGTCCAGTAAATAATACATTCGACATATATCTTTGATATTTAAAATAATTAAAAATATTTAAAGATTTTAATGATATCCATTCATATTTTATTGATTCTACAAGTACCTTTTATATGCATGTATTTTTATGCACTTTATAGATGGACCTGAAATTCTTGAGAAACCAACGCTTTGCGAAGAAACATAACCTGAAACCAAAGGCTCAGTTAAAGAGGGCAGAGCAACGAAAGGCTCTTCGTGAAGCTAAAAATAAAAAATAAATTTAGTGTAAACTAATGACTCTATTAAAATAAATAAAAAAAAACATTTGTGGTCAAAAGTCAGTTTTTTACCCGTCTCTAGTTTCATAATTTTGATGTGTCTCGATAGATAAAACGTTAATTTTTTGTACAGGAATAAGTGTGGATAAGTGTGATAGGAATAAAACTCCAAACGGACTCGTTATTGTACATTTGGTGTTTCTTTTTTATGAATTACGGCGCTTACACAGCTTGTACCTGTTTGTACAGTTACATGTCAATATGGCTACAAAGCAGGCGCTGGAGGCGTGCGACGTTACAAAAATCGTGAATAATTCGACGAAACCAGAGAGGATTTTGTTGTTTAGCGGCAAAAGGAAATCTGGAAAGGATTACATTACTGATATCTCATACAACAGGTACTACATCGATATTTTTTAATTATTTGTAGATAAGATAATGCAGAATGGCATTACTCAGCAGAAAATATGAAATTAACATACGAAAATGTCAAATAAAATGAAGCTATATTAAAGACACATTTCTATGCTAAATAATTGAAGAACTGATTGTTATTAATCTGATATAGTTAATGTTTTTCTTAAATAATAATATAATTTATTAATATAATTTTTTTCTTGACGTAATATTTGTTTACACGATTTTTAGAATAGGTGCACAAAGGAGTACAATTATACGCTTATCAGGACCTATAAAAACGCATTGGTCAAAATCTCTGGGTCTCGACATCAATCAATTACTAGGACATGGGAAATACAAGGAGAAGTATCGATTGGAAATGACCAAATGGGGTGAGGATATGAGAAGAAAGGACTATGGATACTTTTGTCGCGCTGCTATTGACATGTATAATGGTACTACAAAACTGAAAAATCTTTTATTAAAAATTACAATCAATATTCATTGTTGGTTCTTATATTTAATATCGTTTTAAGTAGTATTAAATATAAATTAATGTATTTAATATCTTTTTATGATATCTTAAGTACAATCTTATGATATCATAAGTCAATCACAAAACTGGATTAGTATCTTAGGATATTATCTATAAGACGATCTTGAAATAAGAACCAACTATAGCTGCATTTGTTTTGGACGCTTATGCTCTTTAAACGTTCATAATCATCATTCTGTCTTTATAGTTCATTAGACGTAAAATAAGAATAGAAATGCTGAAAGCGTTCAAACTGAAAGCAGCCTATGAATACTGATCTATGGCTGTATAGACTCAGTCGCAATGAAAGGAATAAGAAATAATAGATTTGAACCTAATTGAAATCGTTTTTCTTAACAAATAATATTTATCATATTAATCTAATATTGGGCAATGAGAGCATTGATGCAGCGCGGAATTTGGTGCGCGCTGTATCAATGCTCTCATTGTCCGATATTAGATTAATTTAATTTCGAGAGCCCTATTATTATACTAAATATATATATATATAAAATAAAGAAAAATATATATATTCCTTATTTCTTTCATTGTGACGTAAAACTATGTTAATTTCTAGAGATATTAATCTCTATAGTATATATACATATATATTTTTCAGCATGGGACAAGCCAGTGTGGATAATAAGCGACGTCAGAAGAAAAACTGACATCAAATGGTTTATAGAAAACTTCGAGGATGCATGTAGGACTATACGTATAGTTTGCTCCGAGGAAGTTAGGCAGAAACGTGGCTGGGTTTATACACCAGGTAATAACATATACATTATAATATTATAATCGTAATTTTAAGGAACCGCAAAAACTCGATCTTCAAAGTAATTTAATCATTTTAGGCATAGACGATTCAGAAACAGAGTGCGATTTGGATGACGTAAGTAATTGGGACGTCGTGCTAGAGAATAACGATAATAGCGACATAGAAGCTATACTGCAGCAGTTGTTAGGCCTCATCAGCTAGCAAAAATTTCTTTCTATCCTGTCAAATGTGCAATAAACAATGTTTCGCAATTTCTCTTTGTTCTTTTCTTGAAAAAAAGGTGTCATGCATCACGCAATTTAATAATAATTTTTATGCAAGAACATTCTAGTAATATGTATATGAAAAATCTCCATTTGATAGCAGATTTTACGTTTTAATTGTTTTTTATCTGCACGGTTCGCTCTATGCACGTATGTTTCTTTAGAAATTAGATACTTTGGAATTATAAAAATTGTGAAATTATAAAAAATAAAAATTATAAGAAAGAAATAAAGAAGCAACGGAATTCAATAAAATATAATACAAAAACGTGCGCTGTCTTATAAAATGTAATTCGAGAAAGAACATAAAGTGGCATCTTTATTTCTGTTTAATCTATACTGTGTGTGTATGTAGTAGAGTTAAGTAGAAATTATTATCTCACGAAAAGTGTGTATTAAAAATAGATAAAAATAAATCGGCACACAGGAGTAATTGTCTAGTTTACATCGTGCACTTGATACGGATACTAACTAGTAACTTTCTATTGAATTATCTTAATTTCGGCGAAACGTGTAAACGTATACATGATATGTGTATTTAATTAATCATTTTGATGCATATTCTACTAATTTAGTACATCATTCTTTAAATACATTGCTGAAATTAAAATAATTTAATAGAAAGTTATTAGTTAAGGGGTCATTGTTCTTCTTTTTCTTCTTTGCTAATTCTTCTTCTTTAATTAGTGGCTCCCGCCTCCAAACAATGTAAAAGGAGGTCGATACGGCCAGATCTCGTCACAATAGTAATAACCGTATATTGAATTCATATGAATTTATAAAGGTAACGTAAAACTATGAGCTACGGAATGTAGCGCCAAGACCTCGCGACAGTGCCACATGAAAAGCGAAGCAAGGCTTCGCTAGGATGGGAAGGGAAGGGCGAGAGCAGGGCAAGGCGCCTGCGCAGGTCACAAGGAGGCGCGAAAGTTTAAAGCTCAGAATTGCCTGCAACAAGACTTACTAAAATTAAGAATGAGTCTACCAAGGCATTCGGATGGCTTAGAAATAGCTCGAGTAAATTTAGTTAGTTTGTCGCCAGAAGGCGACGCTCGGTCGATGACGCGATGTAATAGACGTGCGCCATCCGAAAAGACTGAGCAATCGAAAATCATATGCAAAATGTCCTGTTGTGGATAACCACAAGGACAAGAGGGATCTTCAATAAGATTCTTACGATGTAAGCTAGAATTTAAATTGTAGTGATCGGAGCGCAAGCGATTGATCATGACGATGATTTCTCTAGAAATTTTCGTACGGTAATACCAGGGTTTAGCGGACCTCGCAAAAATATTAGAAAAGAAGTAGGAGCCTTTGATATCCGCCTGTGATTCTAAATAATGGTAAAAACTATCAGTAATATTTTGTTTAATGACCACACACAGGTCTGAATAAGGTACTTTAAAATTAGGTTCAATGCCTTGACGAATAGCGCGCTTAGCGAGTTGGTCTGCCTTTTCATTGCCCTCGACACCTCTGTGTGAAGGAATCCAAATGAAATGAATTTCAGTACCCTTGGACTCGGCCTCCTCCAACGCAGATTTAATAAGTGGGATAAGGTAGTCGTTAGTAGGGTTCTTGTGACTCTTAA